TTATCACTTTTTAGGGATTTGCCGGTGAGTTTTCTTGACTCGTTAGCTTGAATTTTGTTGTCACGATGTTACCTCGCTCTGATGATGTCCGTCATATGACGGACGAAAGCTTAGCATCTTTTTACTGGAATCGAAGGAGATCAACCTCGTAAGCAGCTTCAGCATGAATGTTTCAGTAAAGCCAATCGACAGCTGGTCAAGAGGAATGCGCCAACGTCTTCTGGTGGAACCGACCTTCGAATCTCTTCACCCAACACTTCTACCCGAAATGGAAGTATTAAACTTTAATGAGCCTCGACTAAGGGATTATGACTGGTTATTTTGTTAATTGGCATACACGCTTGCAGGCCTTTACCTCATAATCGCGACCGGCGGTACTCACGGCCTTACACAATCTTGATCATACTTTTGCTTGGGTCATTAGAACATGTTGACCTGGGCCTGAAGTTCAACTATTTATCGCCGGTATTGTGCACTCTGACCACACGCGCGTACACACAAAGACACACACATACATGTCCAAGTACAAGAATCCAGATTGATTTGAAAGCGAAATGACCAAATAATTCCATATGCATTTATATCTAAAGATGTGCATTCGAGATAGTATGTAGCATAGAGGTGGATAATCTTCTTGACTTTGTGCTAGCTTGAAGCTTCTGGGAGGATGAATTCGAGCTCTGATGATGTCCACTATAGGATGGACAAAAGTTGAGCCCGTTTTCACCAAAACAAGGTGAGTATATGAAAAAGCAGAAGGCCTACATAAAATTAAGTGGTTTAAAAACAACGGGATTCAGTTGTCGTCTTCCGATCTTTATTTCACATAAATCCAAATTAAATTTAAGTCTCCGCACAAATCGTTTGTGCCCGACCAAAGGGTACACCAAACTACCCCGACGATGCTACGAGGACGCAGTCTGACTTTGCCGCTGGGGTGACTCCATTCGCCCAACCAACGGGATTCGAACCAGGGCTGGATGGATTCGCACTGAAACTCGCCCAACCTCCGAGTCACTCTTGTGGTTGGGGTGCAAAGGCGCCGCCAATTCCTGCATGTGAGTGGTTGCATTTACGAGCTAATCTAAGCCCATCCTAGAGAACATGCCAGCAGCAGATCACTTGAATGCAAAGCTTGTATCTTCGTTCTCAAAAAGTTGCTCTCTAATGCACTCGGAGGATAGTCGTTGACGTGTGGATCACACACATTCATGTATGTGCATATACATGTCTGGCCAGGTCGTGGAAGTGGCACTTGACTTGGATAGATAAAGCCTGACAAGGGGCAATGGGGAAGGTGAGGGGAGAAAGAGAAGCGGATGTAGCGAAAAATGGTGTCACAACATGTTCTCGTGTCAGTCGGCCTCTCATTTGCAGGCTGTAGAGGAGAGATGACGCTCTAGGATTAACGACGCCTACACGATTGCCGAACCCGACGTCTGGAGGCAGCTTTCAGGTACAGATCGGCCTGTCTTGGAGGCCAGCTTAGCGACTGATTGCGCTGGACGCTGGAGGCCAGTCGAGTTGGTCCGACTGTCCGGTCAACTCGGGTTACACAACCGATGGGGTGACTTTCTGGCCCGATGCAATGGCGAGTGAACGAGGCGGGTATGGAGGCATTTTCGGCCTCTGTCAGAGTGCCCAATCCGCACGAGTAAACAAGCAGTGGAAACAATTTAAAGTGAAATAACTAAATAGATTGGAATGGTCATTGCAATAACAGCGTCACACCTTCAACTCTCACTCCAAAGTGGGGAGGAGAGTGGTCGGAAGAGCAAAATGGTGTGGCCTTTAGCATGGCCGCGATCTCCTTCCGTTGCATAGACGTTGGTTGACCTCGTTTTCGCAACTTGGTCGTCTTGTCGGGACGATCTAGAGCAACGCAACTTGCCCGGAGTCCATTG